TCAAGACAAATCGAGGTTTTGGTATAAAATATTATTTCCGCTGAAAAGGAAAAGAGTAAAATTTGGAAAATTCATAAAAAAATATTTTCCTAAGTTTTGATATAGGAAAAAAATAGAATTTTTTTATTAAAGAATAAATTCCCGCTGAATTTCCAAGAAGAAGAGGAATCTTCTTAAAATTGATTTGACTGAGATTTGAAATGAGAACAAGTAGAATCTTTGTTAAATTAAATGAAGAAGAGAAGAAATTAGAATTTTTGTTAAGTTGATTTTCTATTCGGTTTGAAATAAAATGCCAGTAGATTCTTTGATAAATTGACTTCTCTCCGATTCGAAATGAGAAGAAAATAGAATTTTATGGGAAAATAATTTTTCTCTGAATTAAAGAGAAATAGAAATTAGTTGGGAATTAGTTTTTCTTTGAATTAAAAAGAAATAGAAATTTCTTGGGAATTTGTTTTTCTCTGAATGATCAAAGAAAAGAAATGGAATTAAATTAATAATTATTTCTCTGTGAATTTTAATTATATCGTGAGCTAATCACTTTGTATTATTGAGTATAAATGAGATCAGAAATAGAAAATATAACATTTATTCTCCAGTTGGCAAGAAATCTTCAATTATAATAAAAATAAGAATAAGTTGGAGATAATTTTGTGAATTAACTGATCAATTGATTCTAAATAATTCTTTATGTTTTATGATCTCCAAAGATCTTCAACTTGAATAATTATGAAAATAATCTATCTTTTTGATCCCAAATTCAACTGCCGAATCAATATACCATCAAACATTCGTGTTATTATCATTTTCAAGTCTGCTCTAGACTGTTCAACCATCATAATTTTTAATTAATTTATCTAAAGAATAATCATAATTTTTATTCAATGATTAGAAATTTTAATTTACTTGCAACCCTTAAAACTAGAATCTTCCCTGTTTATTCTCGATGATTAGATAATCTGACGTAAAAATCAAAGAACAAATGAGAGAATATCAAATTTTAATTCATTAATTGTTTTAAAATTGAAAATTAACAAATGAATGAGTGATGATTTTTCATTTAAAAAATACATGAATTATTGAACAGTCAATCGATCAATTCACATGAGAAATCAATTGTATCATTTTATTATCGATTGGTAATCATCAAATAATTGGGAAAGATCATTAAAGAATACCGTTACATATTCTTAAAAATTTGTTCACAACTTTTATTTCTAGAATAATCAAAAGTCACTTCACCATCCTAAGCTATTACCGCAAGGTAGGCTTAAAAAGGTAAACTTAACTTCACGTTTTTCTCATTTATCAAAAAGGTAAGTTTGAAAATTCATGACGTAACACTACGAGCTGATTCTAAGGGGGGAAGACCTTGATAGATGGAGGTCGTCTACTTCCTGCCAACTCACACCTGATGTTTCTCTTATGAACTCTTGGAGATCAATCTATTTACAAGAGAACCACGGTGTGCATTCGAAACAACTACTGCTTCTCTACATCCCTCTCAAAAATCTATCAGCTTCTACGCCTGATCAAATTGATGTTAACAGCTTCGTTCCAATCAGCTTGCTGTCGCTGACTATTCTTCTTCTATTTAGTTTGATCGATATCAAATATTGTCAATTACTTTTAATGTACTTCCTAAGGTGCTTATACACATTTCTTATACACTCTCTGTAAAAATATGTATCATATTTCTCCCCCTCTGTAATGGGGCTTTGTATCCTATAAGCAGTAATAATAAATAATAATAATAATAATAATAATAATAATAATAATAATAATAATAATAATAAAATGTGATGAATTGGTTGACGATATTGTACGATCGATATAAGGGCGTTGTTTTGACAGCGTTGGACTTCCTAGAAGGCTGATAAAATGCCATTTGGAATCTTTAGTTAAATTTGGGGATTCTGATTGGAATGAGCTGTAATAATTGAGAACAGTCAATGTTACTTCTGATTAGCTTGACAATGAATAGAATCTCAGCAATTTTCTTCCTCTCATTAAGTGTGAGAAAGTTAAAACGTACGAATATAACTGTTCCATCATAACATGTATTTGAATATAACCGCGCTTGGTATGTTGGCGACAATGGGTGGCGGCGCCACCATGCGCCAGTCTGGCGGGTCCGAGCATGCGGGGACGCTCGATGATGTCAGAGTCTAACCGACGCTACAAGTGTGTGAATCGTTTGCAACTGCAAATCAATCATTTGACAAGTTATCCTGACTTTATCGTTGTCATAATCGACAAAAATAATCATCCGAAAGGAACCATCGATCAATCAATCGTTTTCGTTCACAAACTATAGTGACGAAAAAATCTAAAAGCTATCAATCAAAAATCTTAACCTAAGACACGAAATCCAACGGTTTCGTGTCACACGTGGCACCGAAGCCACGATATCGAAGTCGTGATTATTAAATTGCGCAATCCTAACTTATTCCACCTGAACATTCAGTGTGGGATTTATCCTATCGTAATTTATCAGTGCGCGTGTGTGTCTACATATTCAGTCGACAGGTCGCCTATGCGTTCCTAGACAAACATTGATGTGTGGATGCATGTGTGTGTGTGTGAATAACGTCATTTGCAGTTAATCGTTTAAATCTTGTATCGAAGTAAATATATCTGGGTTTTTTATGCTTCGGCTTTTTCTCAAGAATTGTGCTTTTGTGTCAGTTATTTTTTCCATATTTTTTATATTATTCATTTTTCTGATTTTTTAATGCAGCTATCATACCACCTAGGGTATGATAGCCTTCAACGTCTTTTCATGGTGCCTCCTGTGAGGTTAGAAATTCTGCCTCAACCTAAAACTGCGAGTGACGCGTGTTACAAAGTGTACGAGTGTACAAAGTGAATAAAAAACAAAAAAAAAACTTTCAAGCATTTTTTCGACGCGTCATCACGTCTGGAGACGCATCGTTTCATCAATCCACCGTCACTCCCGTTCCAGGAAGCTTCACCGCCCAGCAGGTCTCAACATCGTGGAATCGTGCAGAAGAGATAAGTCCTTAACATTTATCTTCTTTACATTCAATTGTTTATTTAGGCCATTTTATTATTTTTTTTCTCGTTCATTTCCATCCATCGGTGGTGTTCACGACAAAGGTCCCTGGTTTACGAAGATTCTTCAGTCAATCAATTTGTTTTGATGACCATAGGGCAGTCCTTCCATTTTTTCGAACATTTCAATAATTAATCTATCGGTTCTATTAATTGATCAACACAATATTGTCACAAGAAATTTGAAATTAAAAATGGAGCTCTCTCCAGACGAGAAGAAATGCGTCGCGTACATCGAACAAAGATTAACTTCTTTGAAAATTCAATTAGGGATGTTAGAACAATATTTGAAGGGTCTAAGTCCTGATCCTACAAATGCTAAGATGCGTTTGAACAGTTTATCATCATTTTACGCTTGTTTCAAATACAACGAGGAGTTAATTTCACTCCAACCAGGAAATCCTCAAGTAAATATCTTTTTGGAGGTCGAGTCTCGGTATTTCGAAGCTGCCGGTTCCGTTACAAAATTACAACGAGTCGAGCATTTTTTGAGTTCCACTCTAAACAGTAGCAACATTACGATAACAGAACGACAGGAATTGCCTAAGCTCCCAAAAATTAAAATCCCCACTTTTGACGGTAAGCGGGAAAATTGGGCATCTTATAAGAATAAATTCATTGCTCTTGTCCATTCTCGTACAGATGTCAGCGACGCAGTGAAGTGCAGTCAACTTTTTGACTCTCTCACTGATTCCGCGCTTAAGAAAGTAAGCCAATTTGATCCCAGCGATAAAGATTATCCTAAGGCTTGGAAGATACTTTTGGAGTTTTACGATCACAAGCGCATTGTGGCAGTAGAACATTTGAACGCTCTTCTAGATCTTCCTCGGTGTACCAAAGCTTCGGCTGACGAATTGTCATCGCTCTTAGATGAAGCTCGTCAGCACCTGCATATTTTAGAAGGACTTGATGCTCCACCTGGCGAGAATTTACTTGTTCGTATCATCGAACGTTGTCTTCCTCCAACAACCAGGAGCAAATGGCAGGATAAACTCAATATGGATGAATTACCAAAGTTGGACGATTTATTCGGGTTCATCCAAACGACCATTTTTAAATTGCAGGCTCTGGATACCTCAGTTACCCCTAATCGCGTCAACAATCCGAAAAAGAGACCTGGAGAAACTCCTACTCAATCGTCGAATAAATTCGCGAAGAAGGCTTCTCATGCCTTTGTTACGTCGTCCAAGTCTGAGGCAATCTCCTCTCAATCGACATATCTGACTTGTCCGAAGTGCAATAAAGCTCATCAACTTTTCAAGTGTCCGGCGTTCAGTGAACTCGGTGTTCAAGATCGTTGGAACTTTGTGAAGAGTATTAAAGCCTGCAAAAATTGTCTTTGGGTCCATCCATTCCCTTGCAAGAACGACAAGCTCTGCAAGAAGTGCCATCGTAATCATCATACGCTGTTGCACAATGACAAGGGCTCTCAACAATTAAAGCCCCAGGATACAAACCCCTCTCCATCCATCAGCGGTCAACAATGACTAGGACACCAAGCGTACACGTCTGTCGCTTTTCCATCGGACTCACAATTGATGACAACGGCAGTCGTGAAAGTCCAAAATAATCGAGGGAATTGTGTCACGGCACGAACACTGTTGGATTCTTGTTCTACAGTAAATCTAATTACCGAGCAATTTGCCAAGTCGCTTCGGCTATCTAAAACTAGTTGTTCTGTGAACATTGGAGCAGTTGACGGTCTGTGCACTGTTTCAAAACAATATGTTCAATTAATTCTCAATTCAAAGTACAATGACTTTAAACAACAATCGAATTTTTTGATAGTACCAAGGATCGCTGATCTAGTGCCTAGTGACGTTTTCCCTCGACATCAATTTGACATTCCCAAAAATCTTCAACTCGCTGATCCGCAGTTTCATCTTCCAAGATCAATCGATCTTTTGTTAGCTTCTAACACTATGCTATCGATCTTGTCCGTAGGCGAAATCAAACTCTCTCATGAGAATTCTGCCATCGTTTTACAAAAAACTCGGTTAGGTTGGATCGTCGCTGGAGGTTCTGAGTTGTTGACGTCTTCAACAACCTCCTCTTGTAATGTTGTCAAATTAGACAAACTTATCGAGCGTTTCTGGTTTATCGAGGATTTTGATCACGAACCCGTTCGATCTCGTGATGAAATTTCCTGTGAACAACATTATGTCACACATACTAAACGAGATGTCACTGGTCGGTACATAGTTCGTCTTCCATTCAGAGATTCTAAATTCAATCTTGGTGAATCCCGTTCGCAAGCACTCAAACGCTTTTCTTCCANCACTGGTCGGTACATAGTTCGTCTTCCATTCAGAGATTCTAAATTCAATCTTGGTGAATCTCGTTCGCAAGCACTCAAACGCTTTTCTTCCCTAGAACGAAAACTTTCATCAAAACCTTTACTCAAATCTGAATACACCAGGGTGATGGAGGAGTATATCTCTCTTGGTCATATGACTCTTTGCGATGAGATCGAGGGTGGATGTTATCTTCCTCACCATGCTGTTTTCAAGGAGTCCAGTGAAACCACTAAAGTTCGAGTAGTGTTCGACGCGTCGGCTGAAACGTCTACGGGCATTTCGCTCAACGACACCCTCTTGGTCGGCCCCACTATCCAGAGTACTATATTCGAACAAGTCCTTCGATTTCGCACTCATCGTTACGTCATCACAGCGGACATTGAGAAAATGTACCGTCAAATACTAGTTCATCCAGACGATCGACAATTCCAAAAGGTCTTGTGGCCTTATCAGGGACAACTTCGAACTTTTCAGCTTAACACTGTGACTTTTGGCACAGCCGCTGCTCCTTTCCTAGCAATTCGTACGATCCAACAACTTGCTCGCGATGAAGCGCACGATTTTCCACGTGCCAGTAAACTTCTCCTCCGCGATTTTTATGTCGATGACTTCATCTCAGGTGCAGATTCCTTGGATCATCTCTTAACTATCCGTGATGAGATGATTGCTCTACTCTCCCGTGGCGGTTTCGTTATCCGTCAATGGTCATCCAATCATCGTTCAGTTTTAGATAAAATCGATAAAAGGTTCTTCGACTTAGATTGCTTGATCAAAGATGATCCAGTCCAGAAAACTTTGGGTATTATATGGGATGCCCAAAACGATCTGTTGCAGTACACTTTGAATCAGGT